GCATGCCGTTGTTTATTCTCATTTTGAAGCTCCCATTCAATTTGTGGAATTTTATGAGGCAATCAGGCCTCCAGTGAAGTTGTATGTCGCATTGCGAGTACTTCTGAGCCTCAATAATGTCTATGAGCCTTAATATTGTCTATGAGCCTTAATATTGTCTGTGCTCTTCAGAGAAATTCCCGACATATTCATTCAACTGAGGTTAAAAGTACTCTATTTCGTTGCTAGTTGTTAATAATATTCAGCAAATCAATTGAAAAACATGCGGGAATTAAATAGAATATATAAATAAAAATAAATAAATAGGGTATTTCAATAAAACGGTCAATGATCTGTAAATCAAATCTGAGTTGTTACGTGTAAGATGGCAGTAGAGTCGCCAAAGATTGGAAAAGCTAATGCACTTCGTGTGGAGCCTGAACATATTAAACGCTTTCGTTAAGTGTCGCAAAGCAGTTAACATCATTTTCATGTTCATAGTTAGCTTTATAACACAAATGAATTATTTGGCGCTTTCTCTACTCGTTTCTGCATCGTTTCACGGTTAAGAATTCAGAAGTGAAGAAGCTTTAAGCCCTTAACTATTGAGTGAAAGTTATGCTGCTGAATAGTTTACGTGACTCCATCCTTTGCAGTTTATTTGTTGCCGCCGTTCTTCAGACTTGCGGCATTCGATGGCATTTGTTCTAACGCTTTGTTTTCGTTGCAAGAATAGCATATTTTATATCATTATCAAGTCTGCGTAATATGCCGTAATTTAGTTCTAAAAACAGCTTTAAGAAACAACACGCCGCAATAATAATTATTGTTTAACTATAATGCTTATAGACTTGACTGTGCGTTTAAAACTAAATTGATTTTGTCATGAAGTATCATAACCTAATATATTAACCGAAATACCGACGTATTTTATAGAAGTGATGCGAATACATTTTTTTATAAATTCACTGTTCAGTGTTTCTCAGATCATTGAGCTTGGTATTGAAAACAGAAACAAGAGTTTAATTTGAAACATTTTTATAATTTTTTAAACAGGAGTTTAATTTTATTGACGACTAAATTTTGCAATTAAATTAATTGTTATGTAAATAGGCTATTTATTTATATTCTACTTAACGTATTTTACGGACATGTTCCATATTATATAATGCCATATAATATAATATAATATAATATAATATAATATAATATAATATAATATAATATAATATAATATAATATAATATAATATAATATAATATTATATTATATAGTATAATATAATTATGCTTTATTATAATATATTTTATCCTGATATATAGGGATCATGAGATCAGCTGATCACAGGATGGGGTCAGGGAGACATCAGTGCTGACATCGTTTGATGGAACATCTAACTTCTGATGGCTCACATCACGTTGCATAATTTAAAAAAATATCGAATGCGGGATTAAAAACTAATGAGAAGGGAAAATTCCATCATGATAGGACGTTGCATTATTAATGACGTCCAATTTTAAATTATTAGAGCATGCAAGGCACGGACGGGAATGAATTTGCAATGTTTCGAACACTCATTGTCCGTGAACAGATGGTATCCTATATGTAATATTTAAAAGTTCAATCGCGAGGAAGCAATGAAGTTATTCATGTAAATACCGAGCATGATATTGACCATGATAGATTGTTGCGGGCAAACACCCCTATGATGAATGGGCCTTCTCATGAATAGTAGAGAACTGGTCCACCTTGAGGATGTTTGTTATCTGCATATCAATTTTGATCCATGATTGATAGACGCTGGACAAATTGATTCACGCCTTTACAAATATTTGCTTGGTTATATAACCGATTACCTCAATATTTAGCAGAAAAATTAATTTCATTATAGTGTCCTTGCTGATTTTCAAGTGTTGAGCAATGGAAGGATAATATAAATTTTATATGAAAAATATTCAATCGTTTATCCTATATATATAACTGTTCAAAGTAAGTCTAACGTTTATCGTTAAATTCAAAGCTGAGTTCAACCAGACGGAATAGCGCCCACTCTCCTTGGATATTATTGCAACTTTCTAATGTGTTTATGTGGACTTTTTTCGCGTAACCAGCTAGGCACAGTTTGCACAAACTGAACAAATGATTCAACTTTTAGACGACAAGAGGAATTTTTTGGGTAATTACCGAGGAGGACCCGACTGCGGCATCGCTGCCGCTGCAGCAGCGGTTGGCTTCATAAAACTCTGTAATTAGGTTCTAAATCCTTGACACTGCGCTGATACTGGCATATATTGCATAATAAAAATGCCCGACTCAATACTTTTCGCTTGATAGAAATAAAAAATGTGCTGACTTAAATTCTCGGCTGTGACATTACGTGCATCAACGTACGTATTATCTATAAAATTCAAGCAAAGATTTTGTGTCGTGCACATCGGAACTTCTATCGACAAGGGTGACGTTGGACAATTATGATCTTTTTATCGTTTCTTCTTATTAAGGTGGCTATTTGATATGTTTTTATGATGGAAAATTAGTTCAAACTTATAAAGAACCGCTTCCATTTATCCACGGTTAGAATTTAATCATCTTTAACAAGTGTAAGTGTTGGTTGAAATAAAGAAACTGCCAGAAAATCAAAGCTGCAATTCAATGCAGCAAGTATTCAGGCTACCTTTTATCTTCCTAGCAAAATTCTTGCCCGATGAAACAAAAGACTTGCTCAATGTTGTAAAAAAACAGTCAATCGACAAGGAGATTAACTATTCCAGCTGCGTTCCAGAAATAACACTGATCATTTTTGCAGTAATGAGCGCAAGCAAAGATCAAGGAGAACCCAAATATTAGGAAATTTATTTGTACGGAAGGTTTAAGCAAGGCTTTTAGATTTGACGAATTCGAGAGAAATAAAAATTGTTGGGGTCATTCAATGTCTGTGAAGGAAAGTTGATTTTCCAAACATTCAGCAATCATCTTAGATGCAAACTGTAGGTACATCACCAGTGTTAAAAATACTCAAGCATTAATGTATATTTCGTAAAGCACCTTGTGTATGGGTCGTTGGGTCGTTGTGTGTTGAATCTATGCTTATTAACCCATTAATGCCGAGAATTATGTAAGGAGAATTTTTCAGAATTTTTCATGCCAAATGACTCTTTATGATGTCAATAAACAACTGAAACACTCAAAACGGAAATTTATTTGAAAATCTGAAAAATACAGCTTGGGAACATATGTGCCCATTCGGCTATAAAATCATGATTTCAGAAGAAATTGAAATAAACCTATAAATATAGTCCTATGTTAGCTCTATGCATACAGACTCCTTTTTATTTCTCAAAAGCTAAGTAGTAGAGTATCTATGGCTTAGTGTGTTATTTTTCCATGCAGTCAGGATGCAAGGNGTGGACGTGCAACAACCCAATCATAAGACACAGTGGACGTGCAACAACCCAATCATAAGACACAGTGGACGTGCAACAACCCAATCATAAGATACAGTGGACGTGCAACAACCCAATCATAAGACACAGTGGACGTGCAACAGCCCAATCATAAGACACGGTGGACGTGCAACAAGCATATCATAAGACACAGTGGACGTGCAACAACCCAATCATACGACCTAGTGGACGTGCAACAACCCAATCATATGACACAGTGGACGTGTAACAACCCAATCATAAGATAAAGTGGACGTGCAACAACCCAATCAAACGATCAAGTGGACGTGTACCAATCAAATCATACGACCTAGTGGACGTGTAAAAATCAAAGCATTAGACGCAGTGGACGTGCAACAACCAAACCATAAGGCCCACTAAAAGTGAATCAAGCAAGTAATACGACATAATGTCCGTGCAACAACCAAAACATTAGACACAGTGGACGTGCAACAACCAAATAATATCTCGTATAAGAGGAAGAGATATTCTCCCTCCCACGATAAACATGGCATCCGATGCAATTTCAAGCTGGAAGCATGCATTTGCAGTGGAGTAATTCAGTTTACGCAGACCCTGCTGCGAGTAACGCTATTAGCGATGCACACTCTCTGCTTCCTTGCTTGCTCATATCATAGCGTAAGCGGTTATCATAGCGCAAGGCGAGCAGACTGAATGAGATCCAAACGTTAATTTTTCAGGCTTAGAAATTTTTTTACTAATTAGCGGTATTATTTAGGTTATACATTTTATTTGGCTTGTATTCTATTCTTCATATATATTCCGACATGAAAATATCAGTTTTCTAACATTTGATAACTGATTCTCGAATCGTTTATCGCACTTCTGTGTAATCCTTATAGTTTTGATGAGTATGACTTGTCTTCGCTGCTATGGGTAAGCGCTTCGTAAGAATACGAATTAACACGAGTTCCTCGTCCAATTCCGAGAATCGTGGATTTATTGGTGCATCACTGCGACTTATTTTAACTTGTAAGTTTTTATTCACTTTGATTTTCAGATTTTAATCCGCAGTCTTAATACATAAAAAATTAGTGAAAATCTCAAATCATTTCATTTTCACGTTCATTTGGCGGAAAGTTTTTATTTCTCGTTAATCAAAGTTTCCATTCCGAGCGTCCTCTGACGACTGAAATGCACCAACCTCGAGTATCAAATGCCAAGTTAAAGATGCGATAAAAAAAAAGCTTCTCACTTGCTTCTGCACTGAAGTTGCGTCCCTTTGTGTGCGTTGTGAGATTGAATTAGGTATCAAATCGGTGTTTATGTTGCCTTTGATCAAATGTTGCTTGAGTTTCTCAGTGAAAGGATTCTAAAAAAAACCTTGCGTGCAATTGGTTGACAGTTTTTATGGGGACTTTTAGGGCAGATCAAACTATGAAGTAGGTAAACGCATTGGTTTTTCGTGATATGCAAGAATAAAAGTCTACGATTAACTATTAAAAATCCCCCCAAAATATTGAATTATTTCTTCAAAATGTTTGATAAACATATTTAGTTTTCTTAACAACTTTCATTAAAACGGTAAATGGTAAATAAAAGTCATGCAACCGTGAAGTCAGATAATATTTTCAATTTCATTAACGAAAAATAACAACATTCACTTACTAGGTGGATCCATACACTTATGGATTAATTTCATTATATAGTTTATTGAGTTTAAAATTTTTCAATACTGGTAACATTTCAACAGACTCGGACCTGAAATAACTAAATTTCACATGAATCCTTACGACACATAGGAAGCTTTCAAGGGATAATATTATGTACTAGGGTCGGACGTTCGAATTGAAGACGAGCTCATGAATGGGACTTAGAAAGAAATTGAGCACGAACAGACTATGTAGGATTTAGTCTTTGGTCTTTTATATTAACGTTTTTAACTTTCAATAAACTCTAACTAGATTATTTTTTCAAATTTAATGGAGAAGTCTATTTCCATCCACAATATGAAATGTAATCAATAGAAGAAGGCGAACAATTCTGCAAATAACGTCAATATCAATCATTTAAAATATGAAAAAAATTCCCTCCTAGGTATTTAATAGTAATTATCGAGTAATATACTGTTCATTTAGGTGTTAATAATGGAGCACATTGAGATGAGATCAAACTCTGGACTCAGAACCAGGGCTGCAGAGAGATTCTGTCGACCTGCCTGCATACGTGGCTTCCAGGAACATTTTGGATCCAGTTTCGGAAGCCTCAGTAACCGTACGGAGCTGCCTGGAGGTACCGCTCGTAAAATTAGATGGGTTAGACGACGTCTTATGAGGTAGCGTAAAAAATCTATTAGAGTATCCTAGCAGCTGATTACATGGAGCTGAGGCGATTCGATCAGCATCATTGTTAATAAGGTTTATATTATACTGAGAACTGGAAGAAGGACGGTCCCCGATATTCCCAAGACCAGGATGCTTTAGCCGTGAGGGATATTCGGTAGCGTTGGACTCCACGCTGTAGTTTAGGACGGCGTTTTGCCTGCGAGTCTCGAGAAATGATCTGTCATACGCCGAGTAATTCATAGCAGCATTGGATGCCGGCAAGCATCTCTCGGTAATTGCTTCCATAGGGTTATAAATTCCAATGGTTAGCCCAGGAACGTCGCTGGCTCCCAAGGCTTTCAGAGGATGTGATGGCATCAACGATGGCGGCTGAGAAGCTGCTTGATGGAGGCCGCAATTATGTTGTTCAGCCCCCGAGCAAAACCCAAGGCGGGAATCTTTTGCAGACGCAGAGCAGCCGAGGAAGTCCTGACGTTTTGCATTAGGCGTGCGGGGCCCCAGCTTTGCCACGGTCAGTAAATTATCCTGTGGATAAGCAGTCAATACCCCGATAACAATGAGGATTTGCTAAGCCATTGCATAACAAATAAACGATACAGCATGCCATAATAAAATTTTACCAAGTTCATTGAGGAATGAATGTTACTTACAGATTGCTTACAATGTACGCAGTTTCTATGAATAGTTAAATTTTAAACAGAATTTCTATTATTTCAGTGGTGGCTTTCACACATGAAAATATTCAAAATAGTTTAGGACATTTCCGATCAAGGTAAATTGAAAAGAAAATGAATAGTTAATCAATTATTTACTTCTTAGTCGAAATGCTCTTGAAAGAAGAAAAGTACATTTTCACTACATCTACATAATGTTTAAATCAGGGTAACAAGTTTAAAATAAATCATGCCCTACTATGTAAATAAATTCGCATCTGATATCTCAATCTAGAATTATTAAAAAAATTGAAGTGTTTTAGCTCACCCTTGAAGATGCATCTTCCGTAATTAGATCAGGAGCCTCGGAAGCGGACGTTTTAAGTTTGAGGTGATCGTGCGTGACGGTGTTCTGGGAGTTGGATCTCTGGTCGTTGCCTCTACGTCTTGATTTGCGGTAGGCTATTAAGGCGACTCCAGGGACGAGGCACAAAAATATCGCCAAGGCGCAACCAATTGAAATGGCCATGAGTGTCGTGCCATCCATAAACTGGGACTCGTGGCTGTTCCCCTTATTGTCGTTTAAATCTGCAGAAAAATATCAAAATAGTTGAGAATCAATATGCTGAATTTTTATATGTTAATAAGTTGATGATAAGTGAAAAAGTTGCTAAAATGTCGTCATTAAAAATATGATTCAATGCTATTGGAATATAACGAAAAATAATTGGATCATAGCTTAAATCATAACTAGAATACAAAACAAATCGAATTGCCTAACGCAAATTACTAAATACATAATATTCGATTTACAACGGAATTTATGGCTATATCAATCGATATTAGGTGTGTTCCAAAAAAGTTGTCAATCCCTTATTTAAAATTGCACGACCAGAAATTCGCTATCTTTTTAAAATTATTGGCTGAATTGCATTCACTGAAAGCTACTATTTCACGCTGTCAAAATTTTACCGAATAATATAGAAATTCCCGCTGAATTGCAGACACTCACATATTTCATTTCCCGCTGCAAAATATTTTCCGAATAATATAATAATTCCCACGGAATTACAGACACTCACATATTTTATTTCCCACTGCCAAAAATTTTCCGAATAATATAAGAACTCTCACGGAATTACAGACACTCACATATTTCATTTCCCGCTGCCAAAAATTTTCAGAATAATATAAGAACTCCCACTGAATTACAGACACTTACATATTTTATTTCCCTATACTAAAAATTTTCCTAATAATATAAGAACTCCTACTGAATTACAGACACTCACTTATTCTATTTTCTGCCGCCCGTAATGTGAGTGCCGTCAAAGTGAGAGGTTCGGTGGGGCCGAGATGTGTCATGGCGGTGATAGTCAAAGAATAGTCGACACCCGCAGTGAGACCTGACACCGAGAACGTCCCGATGTTATCTGCGAGGTGATAAGTCAGATAGGCGTGATATTGGTTCATATGAATCTTTTGCTCTCAGGAAAATGAAGATGTAGAATGACGAAGGAAACCTGGAAATTGACCGATGAATGCAATCTTTCTTGCAAATGGACTCTACATATTTATAATTCAAAGGTGCCCTGTTTATGGTCAAAAATATGCGTACACAATTTTTAAATTACTGTGACACTGAAAGGAATCAGTCTCGAGTTTGAATATTCATGAAAAACATGTAATTTCATCATTTGTTAACGTACTTATGGCTTTATATAGGACTAGTAGAATTTTCAAAAACTTTACCATGCGTACAAATACGGTTAAGGGTCTAGCATTGTTCAAACTTTGAATCAATAATATTTATTGATGTAGTTGTTGCATTATAAACACTTACTTGTCGTTCAAGCTCTTTATTGTGAGTGTGTACATGATTAAGAGTCAAAGATTATTCAAAAGATACAAAATATAATTTTTCATCCACGTACTGTCTGTATTATATAGAAGACTTGTTGGGAGTTCAAGTTCTTTATTGTGAGTGTGTACATGATTAAGAGTCAAACAATATCCAAAACATGCAAAATATAATTTTTTCATCCACGTACTGGTGGCATTATAGAAGACTTGTTGGGAGTTCAAGCTCTTTATTGTGAGTGTTTACATAGTTAAGAGTCAAACAATATCAAAACATACACAATATAATTTTTGTCCACGTACTAGTGGCATTGTAGAAGACTTGTTGGGAGTTCGAGCTCTTTATTGTGAGTGTGTACATTAGTATGACTCAAACAATATCCAAAACATACTCAATATAATTTTTATCCACGTACTGGTGGCATTATAGAAGACTTGTTGAGAGTTCAGGCTCTCAACTGTGAGAGTAAAGAAAGTTGTGACGTCACCGGCTGCCTCCGCAGCCCCCTGCGCGTGCTGAGGTGCAGCGTCTCCAGTCTCCCACTCCTCTAAAAGAGCCTCGAGTTCTTTGCGCTCCTGGCATGCAGATAATTTTATCCTATAAATATTTTTTTGCAGATTTGAATAATTAGAGATGAGCAACATATTCGAATTTATTAAATCCAAACGCATAGTATTAGTTAAAACGGTTATTATTGCCCCTTGAGTCTTTAAACAATTACAGCGCTTCAGGCAAATGACGTTGAAATAATGTTGAGAAGAGTAGATTCCGTATTAACATTAATGCACATTATTTCAACGTCAGATGCCGGGTAGGTTATGATATTGAAAAGATACCAGGACAATATCAATCAAACAAAATTTTGATGTCAATGGATTTACAAAATTAAAATAGTTAGCCTGTCTCTCACAGCTCAAGTTTTCGACATTATTTTCAAGGAAAAAAGTCTAGTCATGAAAATTACATTGCAAAAAACTAATACGATTTTTTATAAATACGTTCATGAATTTTATGCTGTAATGATAGGAACTTTGATTAAAAACAATAATTACAAGTTGTTTATTCATGTTTATTTAATTTGGTGCATGAATCCATTTATATTAGAAGCACTCAACTTTTTTAATAATATTTCCCGTCCAAGATTCGCTATTTTAACGCAATAAATCATCCAACGTTGAATCAAAGGGAAATCTCCTATATCACCCTTCGCATCGAACGGTATTCTAATGTCTTTTCAATTTTTACCCGCTGCTTGAGTTCATTTCAGAATTCATTTCATTTCGCCAACGTTGTTTTCATGTAAGTCAAATAAGCGATGCAACAGGAATATCAAAGTCAAACTTTTATTAATCAGAGCGTTAAATCTGTCAATTTGGTTTAAAAAGTTAGAATGACATGTACTAAAATGAGAAAAAATTAAAATATTAGCCTCGGCTGAAATAATTTTCATTCATAAAACTTTTCTTCGTTAAATATTTCAAGATGTGCGATTTTGAGTCACTCAATTTATTATAATTTACATTACCTTAATTTGTAATTATGTACACAATAGTGCTCGACTAAATTTCGCATAATATTTCAAAATAAAATTTATACGAAACAAACGTGGTGACATACGTTTAAATTTATTTAAATTAACTTTCAAAGTGCGCATTATATGATGCTGATAAGTTTGATGTAGCATCGTGCAGCTGCTCACATGAGAAGAAAATTGTCTGCCAATTGTGAGAGTGAAGCAGATATTTGTTAGCATCTATTGGCGAGACGAAGTTTAATCTAATAACATAATTCAAGGCCTTCCACATCAAAGGCTGCCACGCAGAGATGCAATATCTCTCAACTTGATTGGATATTATACGACATGATTAAAATGTTTCTTTATTTACATCTTAGGGAGAATTTGCAACAAATTTATTTTACAATTTTACTAGACATTTAGATTCAATCAATGGGTAAATAGTAAATAAATTAGAAAATACCTGTTTGTGTGTATGATATATACGATGGGCATTCAAAATTATACAGTTCCTAAAATTTTTTTAAAGAGAAATGACAAAAATAGAGGTACAAAATTCGCCAAGTTCGAAGACATGATATAAAAGAGCACGTAAGCAAATGCAAATCTTAGTGGTTAAAGCAATTCTATTGTAATGTTCCGGGACGATGAAGATAAATAAGGAAGAAATCTATATCATTACTGAAATATAAGAGAACTGTATTTCACCTTCATTTCTTGACTGTCGAGCGTCAGTCTGGAGCGCTCGACAGCAGTCGAGTTTTCTTGATTAAGTTCGCAGTGAACGTTGAGGCTGTGCCAAGACTGGTTCGTCACTGAGCAGTTCAACGTCGGAGGAACAGGAGCTGAACGAATCGAAAATAAATGGTAATATTTTAAAATTTAAAGAATATTTGCGCATTATTATCTTTAACTTATTTTAAACGGATGACTAATCAGAATGTAAAATTTGCATTTTTTTTAAATAAAAGCAACTAATTTTACCAACAGAAATTTTAAACTAAAAATGGTTGGAATGGGAACAATGTGTAAATTATCAATTATTATTTATAATAGTACAAAATATTACGAGTACACATAATAACTAATCCTAAAATAAATTAAGTTTAAGTAATTTTTGATCACATATTTCAAGTGAATATTATTGATATACATATATATTAATTATGAAACGCAGACCTTGAGTTTTGCTACATTTACATATATTTTTAATTATCTTCAAGTGATAAAAGACAATTGAAGCTCTTGCATTCTAATAACCTCATTAAGCCTTTTTTCTGAAAGTAATTTGGTTTAACTTTCCGTTTGTTAAAAAAAATAATGGAAAAGTTGGGGAAAAGTTCACGATTCTCATTAACCTGTGATGTTAATTTTTATTAATTCAGTTTTACTGTGGAAGTTGTGGAAGTTTATTTTAAGCTTAAAAATCTTGCGATCACTTCACTCTAAGAACCTTATGTGCAACGAAGCGCTTAATGCAGTGTTTGTCTAAAGATGCATTTAACTTCTATTGTGTACAATTAATCTGGAATTACTTTTTGGCTTCCTTTAATTAGATACAAAAGTTGCAAAGTACTCGTACAATAAAAATCCCAAATTTTGAAAAAAACGCTAATTTAGGGCTGTTCAAAAACCCTTAATTTCTATGTCCCAAGCTTCTCCGCGATTAATATTTCTGACAACAAATATCTTATTTTACATCCGCTGGAAACCATTTTAATTTTCACACCTCCTGAAAATTGAAGAATCTATCCTAAATATCAATCAAAGATCTAAGCTTGATCTCCCTTGCTACGAATACAATGAAATCTTCTTAGGCAGGTGCACTCCGCTGGTCAAAATCTTATATGGAGAACATTAATCTCACCTGGGGCAGGCTCGACGGAATATTCGCACGGTTGTTTCTGCTTGCCGATAGCATTGATGGCAAAGCAGCGAATAATTCCGTAGTCATAAAGCTTCTCAGGCCGGTACCTGAGTCGTGATTGCTGTTCTGATGACCGAACCCACTCTTCCGACACCAGCTCTTGCTGAGGGAAAAATTTCCCTCAGATACGGAGAAAATGTGTTCAGAAATGAATGCATGCAGGAGGGGATTCAGTTAAATAGAAACAAACTGCCAATTGAAAACATGTGTACTTCAAGTGTAGTATCAACGAAACATTTTTGGATGCAGTCTGAGATTTGGGTTTGTATAGATTTGTATGTAGAATTGATGCACGAAAAAAATATGAATATGTTCCATATGAGTTAACTAATTAAGATCAACCATTTCCGCTAACATGACATTCGAATTCAAGAAGATAAAACATGCAAATGTAAATTTTACATAAGGGGTTTTGTCAAAAGATTACGGCATTAAGAATCTTATGTGATAGTAGACTTTCAGTTTCAAGGTTTTGAATACTCATCGTATTCCATCTGCTTAAGAAAAGTTAATCATATCTTTTCGATTGCTATTAACTGCTTATAACGTTGATTACCTTTGAAACGTTGGTAGCAAACGTCCACTCGAACTGTACGTCGATGGGCTGGGCTTCAATCTTACACGACAAACTGACGTACTCGCCCAATTGAACCTGATGCACGCGTCTCACTTTTATCGAGCACACCGGAGCATCTGGTGGCGATATATAGACTGTTTCAGGGAAAGTATCTGTATAAATCATGGTAATTTTCACTGTGTTTGAGACCAAACAGCTGTAAAAATAAATACAACAACTCCCATCGTTTTGCTGATAATTGATCAATTGGATATTGTGCTCCCTTATTTTAGATTAATGATGAAACATTTAATTTTAACGCTCTCATTTCTTATATGAATTTAAAAATTAGGATTTGAAATTAAAAATCATAATATTTCAATATAATTGTTGATAATTAACTAGATATTCGAATGCCAATTATCAGGTTTTAGTGTTTTCTGGGATCATCGCACCCGCATGGAGTTTTTAATTTGGTTATTGCTTGCATTGCAAGGAAATTAGTTCACAAAAATTTTAGTAATTTTCTCACAATTATTTTTGACCTATGATAAATTGCTTACAAATATTTTTATAACTGAATGCCCACAAAGCAGTAGAGTAAATGTCATCGAAATTATGTTCCATCTTAGAATTTACAGCAGTGTTGTTTCATTGCTTCTATAGCTGACAAAGCAGGCGAGTAACTATATTCAAAATTTCAGTTACAAATTTGATCAACAGCAGTGGTGATTCATTGTTTCAATAGCTCACATAAGATGCTGATGTTGATGGTGTTGGAGACCACGGAGGCGACGGAGTTGGCAGCTGTACAGGAAAAAGTGCCGCTCCAGTCCCGAGTCACGGACTGCAGCACCAAATGCTCACCAGACATCAGCACACCCAGCACTGGGTCGTTCTTAAGCGTACGGTTCTGGCAAGAGAATAAGAACGGTTGATGTACGGTTTTACCAAGAAGATACCAGACAAAGAATGGTTGAAATTAGCACGAGTACATCAGCACCCCCAGCGCTGGGTCGTTCTTATAGGTCCGGTTCTGTCGAGTGAAGAAGGATGATTGAAATTAGAATAAGCACGCCCAGTTCTGGGTCGTTCTTAAGCGTACAATTCAATCCAGAGGAAAGACGAGAACGGTTGGATTTTGTACGTCAGCACACCTAGGGCGGATTCGTTCTTAGGTGTAATGTACTGTCACGTCAAAAATAAACAATGAACAATTGAAATTAGTACATCAACACACCTACAAATGGGTTTTTCTTATGGGCAAAGGTTTTTTCGAGGGAAAAGCGTTTAAAATTAGTCCATCAGCGTGCCTGAAAATGGCTTGTTCTTAAGCGTACGGTTCTTTGTATAGAAAGTGACAATCATACCAGCAAAAAACATGTACACCAGCACGGTGAAATTTATTTCTTTCATTTTAAATAAACAGGTTATGCGTCACAAGATAGTTGCCGCAATTTTTTCGCACGTTGTAAGGAAATGGTGCAAGATATTTCAAAATTATAACTGCACCAACTTTGATATTAGCCGCGTTTACAACCCACGAAACTACAAATAAAAACATTTAATATCTATTAAACTTGTATTATTGCAACGGGAACATCCAATGAATAAATTTCTAGAAGCCGTTTCCAGAAATAAAAATTCCTAATTCCTTTGGCAGCTCTGAAACAATACTGTTAAGATTTTGGAGTATGCTAAGAAACTAATTAATTATTGTATGATCAAAAATATCTCTAATTCAACCTTATTGTTTTTCCTTATATCGCTCGTATTTTGTAAACTTGAACTTGCTTTGAACATTCCTATTGGATTTACTGCGATCGAAACGTTCCAAGTTTGCATATTCAACTATTCCTAATCTCTCACACACCTTAATACGGTGTATGTCTAGTGCATCCATTCAGGCCATGAAAGTCTCTAAATGCAATTCAGCCTCGTGAATAAGAGCCCTTGGACAGCCAAATGCACTGCCATTCAAGTTTCTAAGCTTAGTTTCTATGCATTTTCCAACTAAGTTTCGAACTTCGCAGCAACTGAAGTTGGTAAATTAGAATACGAAATATTATTATTTTGTGTGAACGCTGCACCAGCTGAGGCAGAGAAATGTAGAAAAAATTATTTTGTTTGAAGTTTGAGAAGTTTAAGATCTCCATATTGTTGTATTTCACCCTAATTCAATAGTGTCCAGGCATTGATAATTATATTATATATTACTTTCATTGTAATTAACAATACGATGAACTTGAAATAATTTCAACGTTCGAGAATATTTTTCCAAATCAAAGTTATATGGACTTGATTAGTTATCATGAAGAATTGAACTCGGAACTTTTTGGGGAAAGTTTAAAATGTTATTCTGGTAATTCATTAAAGTGTTAGCTGGAAAAATTCATCAAAGACGCCGAATATATCTAATATACAGCTAAATTACTCAATAAAAAAACATTGCTGTCAAAATTTCGATCGTTACAGTATAGTTGCTTATTAATATAGAAAAAATCGAAACGATACCGCAGAATATACTTTTAGCAACTATCGCAGTTGACCGCCTCACGTGATATAAAGCTCGCACGCGCAATACAAAGGCAAGTAAAAATGAAGGTTTTAATATTCAGTGCTGATAGAGTGGAATAATCGAGCCACTCTCGTTGAAGCGATCGCCATGACATTCTCAAAAACTCGAAACCGTCCGTCTGTCATTCGGCAGATTTTCAATATAAATTCCTAAAAATGTATCGGAATCCTTTTTTATACTTCAACATTTTCAGACTATGGTCAAATCCATTTGAATCTACGATGAGTATTTTAATGCACATTAAAGCTAAATTGAAAATTGAGGAACAAATTTGATAACCAGGCAAATGAGTGTTTTTTTTTTCACAGGACAAAAAAATAATTTTACTAGATTATGTTCCTTTCTAGGTATTTGCGTTATTAAATGAAGCCCATATATTGTATATTTGATACGATGTTCTTTCTTTACGCTTAAGATAAACCAGCAAAGCGCAACCGAGCGAATGCCAAACTAGAATATTTTATTGTGAGCTTCATTCTCCCTACTGTGGCATCTTAGTCATTACCATTACAGTATTGGCGAATACAATTTTATATACATCTTATTTTTCAGTGCATAACACTGTCAATTTTATAGAAGGAAGGTAATTTTTTTTAAATGAGAAGCTTTTTGGACACATTAGGTTATTATGTTTTAAAAACTTATTATTATGTTTTTTTATATTTTCGCTATGCTACCTTGTGTGTCCAGGAGAGCTGGTCCGCTGGAGGCCGCGAGTCCACCTTGCAGGTAAAGTACAAGTCTGTGCCTTCACGCACCTGTGAAGGGTCGATTTTCACTCCCAATTCCAATTCAACTTCTGGAGCATCTGTAGGTTAATACAAGGAACACTTTTAAGAATGCAGTTATTTCCAACAAAGCGCTTTATAAAGACAAATAAGGAAAAGCCAAAATAATTCTTCTGCTATTGTTGAATTTGTGAAATATTTTAAAATCCTGTATATTTCACACAGATCTCCTTATTTTCCAAAACGATACAAACGACAATAGGTTTTAAAATATATTGCTTAAAAAAGTTCATGTTCAAAAATTAGAAGTTAGTTATGGATATAACTAATAACAAATATCGTCTGTAATACCGTGTATCGAATTTTGTTTCTACTCAATATTAAAAACTTCTCAATTCGCACAAAGCTAACATTATCTTGCAGTTTAACAAAATTAGCTATAGATGAATACTTCAAAATATTTTACCATAATTTGATATAAAAAAGATAATTAATATTTCCATAGCAAAATTTGATACGTTTTTATAGGTTTTAATTCATTTATACTTTTACGCATAGATTTCCCCTCCTATTTAAATTTCATAACAGTGTCACCTACAATCTTAATGTTGTTTTACAATGAAAGAATTACTTTCATCTATTTGACTAACAGTACAAATAAAAGATAATACCCGAACAGATTTATATAATTATTCTTGAAATTTCAAAAAAACAAAACTGGGATCATTCGAAGTTTTCACTTTGACCATTTAAAATTCATTCGAATTTGAAAGCTACTCTACATAAATTTGAGATAAGCACGCAGGGGCATTCCTTATACAATATTATTAATCTATTTCAATGGGATAATCTTCATCATATGAGATACTCGTTTGAAATATATTCATTTACATTTAAACTATGGCCTCAAGCAATTTAAAATTGACCCCTAATATCGTTTAAAATTAGAAACGGGGTCATAAATCAAAATTCTAAGACGTTACACATTTTTTCGTTACAAATCACAATAACAATACCCTACTTCTAATGCCGTATAGTTCTGAGTAACTAGATATTATCTTCATCAAAGGTCCTGTTGAGGATAATATTTTCCGTTGAAAATGCTCAAAATCCATACTTCACTCACAATTAACGTGAATAGTCTTAGTGGCGTTCACTTTGTAGTTCGGGAAGAAGTTGTTCCAAGCGACACACGAGAGTTTGCCACCATGATCCTCTTTACCGAGCACGACTTTGAGTTGCCCTGAACTGTAGGACTGTTTTCTTAAGAGCGTCCTGTCGATCTTCGTAGAGTGGCTTGGAGTTGAACTCAACTGCAGTGTTTGAACTGCAGTTGACGAAGCCACTCGACTTGAGGTGCCACCGCCATCCAAGGGAGACCAGAAATTCGGATCGTTCAAGTCCTGTCAAATGAGAGTAAATGACGCTTAAATACTTGAATTCCAGATGAAAAGAACATAAAGCCTGTCGGAATTTTGCTCTTTCTTCGAAACTTTTTTTGATCACAGTCATTTAGTTAACTCTTTTAAGAGAGTTATCGTGATGTTGTTAGCTCGTTGAACTTGCTGAATTTGGAAAATATTAAATATTCTGCAAGTAAAATTTGCTCACGTATCAATTACCCACGTTTTATTCAAGTTGCACGAAAAAAATTTACAGCAGTGAACAATATTCCGCAAATTCTTTGTTATATATAAACCCAAGATTTTAACACGAAGTGCAAATTTATGTGCGCTTCAACTGACGAGTTAAATTTGTTTCAGGACTAAAGAATTTAAACCAGATTATTCTGTTGGTGAGCTCATAATAAGTAAATCTGTCGATTTTTCCACAAGAAATTCACTTCAACGTTGGCAACAAATTCAACCAATCTACTAATCTATTCTTTTATGGATTGCCCTGAATAAATCATGATTTTTGGATTCATTAATCTAAAAACGAGTTACAAGTTTAATTAGGCTGATTTATTATAGGTGAAAGCAGAACTCGTCCAGCAATGACTATCATTCTAATGAATGTGATGAATTTAGTACTTAAATCAACTAAATGATTAATGCCTTATTCATCAGTGACATTATTCATCAAAAGAGTCAGTAAGCGTTTTCTATAATTACGGAACGTTTGAGATACCTGCCCTTATGACCTCAGGTCATCGAGTCAACTCATTCGAGTACGTAAAACTTTCACCATTTTTTATATTTCATCAAGTGTTCGCTGGTTTTTAACTTCAAAAAGCGTTTGAAAATTGTTACCTATGTATTACAATGGCGTGAACATAGTAAGCTAACAAATAAAAAATGTCGTTAACGCTCTGAACTCAATTACAGCTATTGAGGCTTCATTGCCTTTCTAGACACGACAAGGGTCGTTAGAGTTCAGAAAATAGACAAAATATCCAATAATAATGTTTAATAATACCTGAGTGCTGAGCTTCATGGCTGGGCTGTCAGGTTTGGTAAGCGACCACTCCAGTCTAGGGCGTGGCCTCGACCCATACACACGGCAACTCAGAGGATGAGGTTCCCCTGACGTGAAGGCCTCAGGAAAATCAACCAAATCCACTGATGAAGGCGGACCTTTGTTGGGAGAGAATCTCACTTATTTTTGGTTTGAGTAAATCCTAAAAGATACAGAATTTTCCATTTTTAACACAAAATATTTTAGATACTATATTTTCAAGGCAAAGTCATTTATTGTCAAGATTATTATCCTTATTATCAACGCGATTTAATTGGCATGCTTCAATTTATATAGAATTTCGTAAATTAAGCCAGTATGAATATAAATTATTATTTCTAGCATGTAAGTACTCGTATTGAACGCCATCGGGTTGCTTTCACCACCCGACATTTGAAAAGAATATTGATCGAATAATCTCATGCTGTCCGGCTGCTCTCAATTCCGAAAATATTAATTTCCGTAAGTTTATAATAGAACATGTTTATTTTCGTAAGGAATAGAACTTTCGTAAGGCTATTTCGTCTGGAAAATTTCACGCACTGAAGATTTCCAGCTGCATTTTGACCTCCAGCGGCGTAGACAAGTTGGAGTTGGCAGCCCAGCAAGAAAGATCCGCATCATCATAAGCCATTGTGATGTTGGCGATCTTCAGAGTACTTAAAGTCATATTCTTCTGTGTCGTAAGATCGTAAGTCGAGTGAATATCTCCATAGGGCTGACCCGGAGAAAGTTCTAAGCGATGCATGGCGTGAAAAATACCAGTCTCTAGAAGGTGGTTGTCCTCAGAAGGCCTTTCTTTTTGGCTTTTCTCGACAGGCTTGTTGCTCTGATGTATGGAGTTTCTCGACATCTGGCGGCTTGAAGTGTTGATCGTGTTGAAGGATGGTCGTGAAATGTATGTCTTCTGCTGCATTATAGAAGACTTGTTGGGAGTTCAAGCTCTTTATTGTGAGTGTCTACATAGATAAGACTCGAATAATATCAAAACATACACAATTTAATTTTCATCCACGTACTAGTGGCATTATAGAAGATTTGATGGGAGTTCAAGCTCTTTATTGTGAGTGTGTACACGGTTAAGACTCAAATAATGTCAAAACGTACACAAACTTATTTTAACCCACGTACTGGTGGCATTATAGAAGACTTGTTGAGAGTTCAGGCTCTCAACTGTGAGAGTAAAGAAAGTTGTGACGTCACCGGCTGCCTCCGCAGCCCCCTGCGCGTGCTGAGGTGCAGCGTCTCCAGTCTCCCACTCCTCTAAAAGAGCCTCGAGTTCTTTGCGCTCCTGGCATGCAGATAATTTCATCTTAAAAATATTTCTTGCAGATTAGAATAATGAGATATGAGCAACATATTCGAGATATGAGCAACATATTTTTCAAATCCAAACGCACAGTATTAGTTAAAAACGGTTATTATTGCCCCTTGAATCTTTAAACAATTACAGCTCCTCAGGCAAATGACGTTGAAATAATGCTGATTAAGAGTAGATTCCGTTGAAAAAGATTAATACACATTATTTCAACGTCAGATGCCGGGTAGGTTATGATATTGTAAAGCTACGAGGACAATAACAATCGTACAAAATGTTGATGTCAATGGATTTAAAAAATTATAATAGTTAGCCCGTCTTTCACTGCTTAAGTTTTCGACATTATTTTCAAGGAAAAAACTCATGTAATGACAATTACAGTGCGAAAAAATAGAACGAATTTTAAAAATAAGTTCAAGAAATTTATTGTATAATGATTGAAACTTTGATTAAAAACATTAATTACCACTTGTTTATTCATGTTTATTTCATTTGGTTCATGAATCCATTTATATTAGAAGCACTCGATTATTTAGAATAATATTTTCCGTCCAAGATTCGCTATTTTAACTCAATAAATCATCCAACGTCGAATCAAAGGAAATCTCCCATATCACCCTTCGCATTGAACGGTATTCTAATGTCTTTTCAATTTTTACCCCCGCCGCTTCATTTCAAATCAGAATGTATTCACTATTCATCAACGTTGTTTTCATGTAAGTCAAATAAGCAATGCATTGCAACAGGGATAGCAAAGTTAAACTTTTATTAAGCAGGGCGTTAAATCAATCAATTTGATTAAAAAAGGTAGAATGACATGTACTAAAATGAGAAAAAATTAAAATATTAGCCTCAGCTGAAATCATTTTCAGTCTTGAAACTTTTCTTCTGTAAATATTTCAATATGTCGGATTTTGAGTCACTCAATTTATTACAATTTACATCACCTCAATTTTTAATTATGTACACAATAGCACTCGACAAAATTTCTCATAATATTTCAAATTAAAGTTTATACGAAACAAACAGTGACATACGTTTATATTTATTTAAATTAGCTCTTAAGTACGCATTATAAGATGCTGATAAGTTTGATGTAGCATCGTGCAGCTGCTCACATGAGAAGAAAATTGTCTGCCAATTGTGAGAGTGAAGCAGATATTTGTTAGCATCTATTGGCGAGACGAAGTTTAATCTAATAACATAATTCAAGGCCTTCCACATCAAAGGCTGCCACGCAGAGATGCAATATCTCTCAACTTGATTGGATATTGTACGACAGGATTAAAATGTTTCTTTATTTACATCTTAGGGAGAATTTGCAACAAATTTATTTTACAATTTTACTAGACATTCAGATTCAATCAATGGGTGAATAGTAAATAAATTAGAAAATACCTGTTTGTGTGTATGATATATACGATGGGCATTCAAAATTATACAGTTCCTAAAATTTTTTAAAGAGAAAATGATGAAAAAAGAGGTACAAAAATTCGCCAAGTTCGAATTCATGGTATAGAAGCACACGTAAGAAAATGCTTGGGTTGCAAGCCACATAAACAAATGCTTCAACTATCAATCTAGCTGGTTGAAGAAATTCTACAATAATTTTCGGGGACGATGAAGGTAAATAATAAATCTATATTATTACTGAAATATAAGAGAACTGAAATTCACCTTCATTTCTTGACTGTCGAGCGTCAGTCTGGAGCGCTCGACAGCAGTCGAGTTTACTTGATTAAGTTCGCAGTGAACGTTGAGGCTCTGCCAGGACTGGTTCGTAACTGAGCAGTTCAACGTTGGTGGAACAGGAGCTGAACGAATCGAAAATAAAATGAATTTTTAATATTTCAAAGAATATTTGCGCATTATTATATTTAACTTATTTTAGACGGATCAAAATGTATAAATTTAGACTTTTTCGGAAATAAAACCAACTAATTTTACCAACAGAAATTTTAAACTAAAAATGGTTGGAATGGAAACAATGTGTAAATTATCAATTATTATTTATAATGGTAAAAAATATTACGAGTACACATAATAACTAATACTAAAATTAATTAAATTTAGGCAATTTTTGATCACATATTTCAAGTGAATATTATTGATATACATATATATTAATTATGAACAGCAGACTTTGAGCTTTGCTACATTTACATATATTTTTAAATATCATCAAGTGATGAAGGACAATTGAAGCTCTTGCATTCTAATAACCTCATTAAGCCTTTTTTCTGAAAGTAATTTGGTTTAACTTTCCGTTTGTTGAAAAAAAGTAATGGAAAAGTTGGGGAAAAGTGCACGATTCTCATTGAACTGTGATGTTCATTTTTACTAATTCAGTTTAACTATGGAAGTTTATTTTAAGCTTAAAAACCTTGCGATCACTTCACTCTAAGAACCTTATGTACACTGAAGCGCTTAATGCAGTGTTTGTCTAAAGGTTCATTTAGCTTCTGTTGTGTACAATTAATCTAGAATTACTTTTCGGCCTCCTTTAATTAAATACAAAGGCTGCAATGTACTCGTACAATAAAAATCTCAAATTTTGAAAATAACGCTAATTGAGGGCTGTTAAAAAACTCTTGTTTTTTATGCCCCAAGCTTCTCCGCAATTATTATTTCTGACAACAAATATCTTATTTTACATTCTCTGGAAACCATTTTAATATTCACACCTCCTGAAAATTGAAGAGTCTATCCTAAATATCAATCAAAGATCTACGCTTGATCTCTCTTGCTACGAATACAATGAAATCTTCTTAGGCAGGTGCACTCCGCTGGTCAAAATCTTATATGGACAGCATTAATCTCACCTGGGGCAGGCTCGACGGAATATTCGCACGGTTGTTTCTGTTTGCCGATAGCATTGATGGCAAAGCAGCGAATAATTCCGTAGTCATAAAGCTTCTCAGGCCGGTACCTGAGTCGTGATTGCTGTTCTGATGACCGAACCCACTCTTCCGACACCAGCTCTTGCTGAGGAAAAAATTTACTTCCCTCAGAAACGGAGAAAGTGTGTTCGAAAATGAATACATGAAGTAGAGGATTCCGTTTTAAATAGAAACAAACAGTGCCAATTGAAAATATGTGTACTTCAAGTGTAGTATCAACGAAACATTTTTGGATGCAATATGAGATTTGGGTTTGTATAGATTTGTATGTAGAATTGAGGCACAAAAAATATGAATATGTTTCATATGAGTGGTTTTAGAAAAACTAATTAAGTTCAACCATTTCCGCTACATGACATTCGAATTCGAGAAGATGAACATGCAAATGTAAATTTTACATAAGGGGTTTTGTCAAAAGATTACGGCAATAAGAATCTCAGGTGATAGTAGACTTTCAGTCTCAAGGTTTTGAATACTCATCGTATTCCCTCTCCTTAAGAAAAGTTTAGTCATCTCTTTTCTATTGCTATTAACTGATTATAACGTTGATTACCTTTGAAACGTTGGTAGCAAACGTCCACTCGAACTGTACGTCGACGGGCTGGGCTTCAATCTTGCACGACAAACTGACGAATTCGCCCAATTGAACCTGATGCACGCGTCTCACTTTTATCGAACACACCGGGGCATCTGGTGGCGGTATATACACTGTCTTAGGGAAAGTATTTGCAGAAATCATGGTAATTTTCACTGTGTTTGAGACCAAACAGCTGTAAAAATAAATACAACAACTCCAATCGTTTTGCTGATAATTGATAAATTAGATATAGTGCTCCCTTATTTTAGATGAATGTTGAAATATTTAGTTTTGATGCTCTTATTGCTGATATGAATTTAGAAAATAAGATTTGAATATTAAAAATTATAATATTTCAATATAGATGTTGATAATTAACTAGACATTCGAATGCCAATTGTCAGGTTTTAGTGTTTTCTGGGATCATCGCACCCGCATGGAGTTTTTAATTTGGTTATTGCTTGCATTGCAAGGAAATTAGTGCACAACAAATTTAGTAATTTGTTCACAATTATTTCTGACCTATGATAAATTGCTTACAAATATTTTTATAACTGAATGCCCACAAAGCAGTAGAGTAAATGTCATCGAAATTATGTTCCATCTTAGAATTTACAGCAGTGTTGTTTCATTGCTTCTATTGCTGACAAAGCAGGCGAGTAACTATATTCAAAATTTCAGTTACAAATTTGATCAACAGCAGTGGTGATTCATTGTTTCAATAGCTCACATAAGATGCTGATGTTGATGGTGTTGGAGACCACGGAGGCGACGGAGTTGGCAGCTGTACAGGAAAAAGTGCCGCTCCAGTCCCGTGTCACGGACTGCAGCACCAAATGCTCGCCTGACATCAGCACGCCCAGCACTGGGTCGTTCTTAAGCGTACGGTTCTGGCAAGAGAATAAGAACGGTTGACGTACGGTTTTACCAAGAATATACCAGACAAAGAATGGTTTAAATTAGCACGAGTACATCAGCATCCCCAGCGCTGGGTCGTTCTCATGGGTCCGGTTCTGTCGAGTGAAGAAGGATGATTGAAATTAGAATAAGCACGCCCAGTTCTGGGTCGTTCTTAAGCGTACAATTCCATCCAGAGGAAAGACGAGAACGGGTGGATTTTGTACGTCAGCACACCTAGGGCGGATTCGTTCTTAGGTGTAATGTCCTGTCACGTCAAAAATAAACAATGAACAATTGAAATTAGTACATCAACACATCTACAAATGGGTTTTTCTTATGGGCAAAGGTTTTTTCGAGGGAAAAGCGTTTAAAATTAGTCCATCAGCGTGCCTGAAAATGGCTTGTTCTTAAGCGTACGGTTCTTTGTATAGAAAGTGACAATCATACCAGCAAAAAACATGTACACCAGCACGGTGAAATTTATTTCTTTCATTTTAAATAAACAGGTTATGCGTCACAAGATAGTTGCCGCAATTTTTTCGCACGTTGTAAGGAAATGGTGCAAGATATTTCAAAATTATAACTGCACCAACTTTGATATTAGCCGCGTTTACCACCCACGAAACTACAAATAAAAACATTTAATATCTATTAAACTTGTATTATTGCACCGGGTACATCCAATGAATAAATTTCTAGAAGCCGTTTCCAGAAATAAAAATTCCGAATTCCTTTGGCAGCTCTGAAACAATACTGTTAAGATTTTGGAGTATGCTTAGAAACTAATTAATTATTGTATGATCAAAAATATCTCTAATTCAACCTTATTGTTTTTCCTTATATCGCTCGTATTTTGTAAACTTGAACTTGCTTCGAACATTCCTTTTGGATTTACTGCGATCGAAACGTTCCAAGTTTGCACATTCAACTATTCCTAATCTCTCACACACCTTAATACAGTGTATGTCTAGTGCATCCATTCAAGCCATGAAAGTCTCTAAATGCAATTCAGCCTCGTGAATAAGAGCCCTTGGACAGCCAAATGCACTGCCATTCAAGTTTCTAAGCTTAGTTTCTATGCATTTTCCAACTAAGTTTCGGACTTCGCAGCAACTGAAGTTGGTGAATTAGAATACGAAATAGCATTATTTTGTGTGAACGCTGCGCCAGCTGATGCAGAGAAGTGTAGAAAAATTGATTTTCTTTGAAATTTGGAAAGTTTAAGATCTCGAAACTGTTGTATTTCAACTTAATTCAATGGTGACTAGGCTTTAATTATTATATTATGTATTAATATAATTGTAATTAACAATCCGATGAACTTGAGATATTTTAACGTTCAAGAATATTTTTCCAAAAATAAATTTATATGCTCATAGTTATTGTGAAGAATTGGGAACTTTCTAGAAAAAGTTTAAAATTTTATGCTTCCGTGTTAGCTGGAACAATTCATCAAAGACGGCGAATATATCGAACATGCAGATAAATTAACATAAAAACATTGCTGATCGTTACAATATAGTTGCTTATTAATATAGAAGAAATCGAAACTATACTACAGAATCTAATTTCAGCAACCAGCGCAATTGGCTGCCTCCAGTGATATTCAAAGCTCGCACGCGCGAAACAAAACGAGTAAAAATGAAGGTTTTAATATTCAGTGCTGATAGAGTGGAATAATCGAGCCACTCTCGTTGAAGCGATCGCCATGACACTCTAAAAACTCGAAACCGTCCGTCTGCCATTCGGCAGATTTTCAATACAAATTTATAAAAATGTATTGGAACCTTGTATATACAGTATATCATAAAACATTTTAAGACTATGGTCGAATCCATTTGAATCTACGTTGAGTATTTTAATGCACATTAAAGCTGAATTGAAAATTGAGAAATAAACTTGATAACCAGGAAAATGAGTGTTTTTTTTCAAAGGGAAAAAAGTATTTTCACTAGCTTATCATCCTTTCTAGGCATTTGTGTTATTAAAGTGATAAGATTTGATAAGATGCTCTTCATTTACGCTAAAAAGTAACCGGTAGAGAACACCCGAGCAACACCAATCTTAAGCACTTTATTGTGAGCTTCAAGCTCCCTTCAGTGGCATCTTTGTCATTACCATTATACATTATAACAGTGTAGGCGAATTCAATTTTATATACATCTTATATTCCAGTAAATTACACTGGCAATTTTATAGCATGAAGGTAATTTTATTTTAAATGTGAAATTTTTCGTGCACATTACGTTATTATGTTTTGAAAACATATTATTATGTTTCTAGCGCATTTTCTCATTTATGGAAAAAGGCGCTATTGTGCTCGTCATGTCCGTCCGCCCGTTTGTGACTGACTTATGCACGAGAAAATACGCTCTCTGTCACTCACTGCAGTGAGTACTGATCTAATTTTTTTTCTATATTTTCGACATGCTACCTTATGTGTCCAGGAGAGCTGGTCCGCTGGAGGCCGCGAGTCCACCTTGCAGGTGAAGTACAAGTCTGTGCCTTCACGCACCTGTGAAGGGTCGATTTTGACTCCCAATTCCAATTCAACTTCTGGGGCATCTGGAGGTTAATACAAGGAACACTTTTAAGAATGCAGTTATCTCCAATAGAACGCTTTATAAGTAAAAAGAGGGAACAGTAAAAATTATTCTACTACTTGTTTTGAATTAGTGAAATAATTTAAAATTGTTTATATTTCTCGCAGATCTCATGCTTATATTCCAAAACGATGTAAATGACAGTAGGTTGTAAAATATATTGCTTATAAAAGTTCATGCTCAAAAATTAGAAGTTAGTTATTGATACGAGTATAACTGAAAACCAACATCGCCTGTAAAACCGCTTAACGTATTTTGTTCCTAATTTCTAGATTCGCCCAAAACTAATGTTATCTTGCGGTTAAGCAAAATTTGCTATAGGTGAGTACTTCATGTTACTTTATCATAACTTGATATCAAAAAAGTTTAAGAACAATTAACCTAGTAAATTGGATACGTTTTTATAAGTTTTATTTCTTTCATACTTTTACGCTTAGATTTCATCTCCTATGTAAATTTCATAACCGTGCCGCCAACAATCTCAATGTTGTACTATAATGAAATAATTACCATCATCTTATTTTCCTAACGTACAATTAGAAGATAATGCTCGAACAGATTTATAAAAAGATTCTTGAAATTGTAAACAAACAAAAGTAGCATCATTCTAAGTTTTATGAGACCATTTTTTCGAACTTGACTTCATTAAAATTCATTCGAACTTAACATAATTTGGCGCACCGGTGCTTTCCTTATACAGTATTATCGAGCTATCGTAACGAGATAGTCTTCATCATTAGAGATACTCGTTTAAAATATGTTCATATGTTCATCTAAAATTTACCCCTAAAATCGTATGAAATTAGAAACTGGGTCATTAATCAAAATTCCAGGACGCTTCACATTTTTCTTACTAATCACAATAACAATACCCTACTTCTAATGCCGTTTAGTTCAGAGTAAATGGATATTATTTTCATCAAACATCATGTTGAGGATAATATTTTCCATTGAAAATACTCAAAATCCCTACTTCACTCACAATTAACGTGAATAGTCTTTGTGGCGTTCACTTTGTAGTTCGGGAAGAAGTTGTTCCAAGCGACACACGAGAGTTTGCCACCATGATCCTCTTTACCGAGCACGACTTTGAGTTGCCCTGAACTGTAGGACTGTTTTCTTAAGAGCGTCCTGTCGATCTTCGTAGAGTGGCTTGGACTTGAACTCAACTGCAGTGTTTGAACTGCAGTTGACGAAGTCACTCGACTTGAGGTGCCACCGCCATCCACGGGAGACCAGAAATTCGGATCGTTCAAGTCCTTTCAAATGAGAGTAAATGACGCTTAAATACTTGAATTCCAGATGAAAAGAACATAAAGCCTGTCGGAATTTTGCTCCTTCTTCGAATTTTTTTTATCACAGTCATTTAGTTAACTCTTTTAAGAGAGTTATCGTGATGTTGTTAGCTCGTTGAACTTGCTGAATTTGGAAAATATTTAATATTCTGCAAGTAAAATTTGCTCACGTATCAATTACCAACGTTTTAATCAAGTTGCGCGAAAAAAATTTACAGCAGTGAACAATATTCCGCAAATTCTTTGTTATATTTAAACCCAAGATTTTAACACGAAGTGCAAATTTATGTGCGCTTCAACTGACGAGTTAATTTGTTTCAGGACTAAAGAATTTAAACCAGATTATTCTGTTGGTGAGCTCATAATAAGTAAATCTGTCGATTTTTCCACAAGAAGCTCACTTCAACGTTGGCAACAAATTCAACCAATTTACTAATCTATTCTTTTATGGATTGCCCTGAATAAATCATGATTTTTGGATTCATTAATCTAAAAACGAGTTACAAGTTTAGTTAGGCTGATTTATTATAGGTGAAGGCAGAACTCGTCCAGCAGTGACTATCATTCTAATGAATGTGATGAATTTAGTACTTGAATCAACTAAATGATTAATGCCTTATTCATCAGTGACATTATTCATCAAAAGAGTCAGTAAGCGTTTTCTAGAATTACGGAACGTTTGAGATACCTGCCCTTATGACCTCAGGTCATCGAGTCAACTCATTCGAGTACGTAAAACTTTCACAATTTTTTATATTTCATCAAGTGTTCGCTGGCTTTTAACTTCAAAAAGCGTTTGAAAATTGTTACCTATGTATTACAATGACGTGAACATAGTAAGCTAACAAATAAAAAATGTCGTTAACGCTCTGAACTCAATTACAGCTATTGAGACTTCATTGCCTTTCTAGACACGACAAGGGTCGTTAGAGTTCAGAAAATAGAGAAAATATCCAATATTAATGTTTAATAATACCTGGGTGCTGAGCTTCATCTGAAAATAGATAAAATATCCAATAATAATGTTTAATAATACCTGGGTGCTGAGCTTCATCTGAAAATAGATAAAATATCCAATATTAATGTTTAATAATACCTGAGTGCTGAGCTTCATGGCTGGGCTGTCAGGTTTGGTAAGCGACCACTCCAGTCTAGGGCGTGGCCTCGACCCGTACACACGGCAACTCAGAGGATGAGGTTCCCCTGACGTGAAGGCCTCAGGAAAATCAACCAAATCCACTGATGAAGGCGGACCTTTGTTGGGAGAGAATCTCACTTATTTTTG